TATATATATATATATATATATATAATCACTTTTCACTTATTTACGTAGATCACAATGATCAAAATGGAATATTTAAGCGAATGTATAAAATATTAGTTCAGTGACTTGCCTAATAATGGGACTAACCTCCATCCGAAACAATGCTAAGAGGAAATAAAGAATTTGATAGAATAATTAATAAAAGTTCATTGTCAATAACAAAAGGATCCCATAATTTTACTACCCTACAAATATACAATCATTACTTTCAATAATTACTCTCTATCCACAATATTGACAATACTACTACGCCTGAGAAAACTGAAAAATGACTTTTCTCTTAAAACCAGACTTGAAAAACCTTCTGATGTAAATAGAGCGGAGAACATTGATGGAGTGTTATATACCTGCACTGTAATTTCATCTTCTTTAACAACCTGCCGCACTTTATCTGCTGCTTCTTGTTCTTTCGCCAGGCTAACCATTAACTTCTCTGTAGCTTCACTTTTCTTTTGCAACTCGGGCTCCATGGCTGTTAGCTCTATTTTCATAGTGTCAACAATATCATTTGTTTGCAGAATTTTCTGAAAAATATAACAAACATTTGAAAATCACTGCTGTAATTAGAGAACATTATAATTAATTATTGGTTAGGAACGAATTAAAATTGTTATATTATATAATATTGTATTATATATTGTTGTACTAGAATGTTAAAACTGTCTTCTCCAAAAATGTTTTGTATTAGAGGAATGGAAGTGGAATTACAGTACTAGTTACGACAGAGTAAGATATTGCTTTGAGTTATCAATGTTGTATTTTTAATTTTTCATATTTCCATTGAATCGTAAAAATTGGAATAATAATTACCATTTATAAACGTAATTATCGAGCAAATTTTTTTCCCCACTTCCATACCATCATTGGAACACTACGCCTGACGCAGATTTTTGTGCCGTCACAATGCACTGAGTTGGCAAGCACTTGTATATATGGTGAACGCACTACGATAGGAAATTTATATATTTTATGCCAAAAGTTAGTAAAATGCGGGACGTGAATTGTGGCTTACTGTGGGCAAATGCGAAATCTGAGCTGTTCGTTGATCCCAACCATTGGCTCGGACACGAAGATCTAGGAGGGGACGGCCTTCATTGCAACTTCCGGCGTGAATGGAAGCTGGGATGGCATCACGGCGAAGTAATACGATCGTATTTACTTAAAAAGTGACGAGAAACATGAC